AACCCTGTCTGCCAGACCATGAAAGAAATGGGAATAGAAAGTAATAAGGTTAGGATGGTTTTTATCCTGTGTAGGACCTCCCATTGATCCAATTTATTAGTTCCCTGTGTGGCACTGCACCTAGTATAGGAAAAAGAGAAGAAACGAGAATACTGGGGGGTTTTGCGTGTTTGTTTTTATCCTCACCTGAGGGTATGTTCATTGATTTTAGAGAGAAGAAGGGAGAGAGGGAGGGAGGGAGGAAGGGAGAAACATCGATTGGCTGCCTCCCGTACTTGCCCCAACCAAGGACTGAACCTGCACCTTAGGCTTGTGCCCTGACCTGGAATCGAGCCTGTGACTTTTCGGTGTACGGGACAACGCTCACACCAATTGAGCCACACTGGAACAGGGCTAGAATCTGTTTTTAATAATGAGCCATAATAATTAAAAGGGAGGAACCCACTAATAACAAGAGGTTATATTTGGGGGAATTTCTCATTTTCCTTGAAAATATTACTGAAGAGACACCACATCTATCTAGAAAGCATATTAATTTGTTAAAGAAAGCATCCTCTGAAACATTCACCTTCAAAAAAGAAGAGATTCTCTCCCTTTTATAAAAAAGCAGTATCGAGGGCTTAGATAATTTATTGGATAGTAAAAGATCGGGGTGAATTCCCTCAGATTCTCTGTATCTTGTTTCCATCAGACTAAATAATTCCTTGGCTGCGGCCCTAGTCCTTGTGTATTAGTTACGTTTTAGGTGCTTTGACTTATACCTTTGTGTGTATGTGAACTTAGCCCTTTTGGAGTATTAATATTAAGCTCCTGTTTGTATATGGTGATCTAACTTTCTTAGTGTTTACCATTTATATATTTCCTTCTTCCTATAGCTTCAGAGGAACATTTTGGCATCTAATCCCAGAGTCACAAGATTCCACATTAATTGGGAAGATAACACAGAAAAACTGGAAGATGCAGAAAGCAGTAATCCAAATTTACAATCACTTCTTTCAACAGACGCATTACCTTCAGCATCAAAGGGATGGTCCACGTCAGAAAACTCACTAAACGTTATGTTAGAATCCCACATGGACTGCATGTGACCACCTGCCATCCCTTTAGTACAAATTAAGCTATAAAAACAAACAGAACTATTTCCCTGAAATTCCGTAAGTCATAGTCACTAAGACACAATGTGAAGAATTCGTTTAAAAAACATCCTGTAGAAAGTTTATAAGAAAACCAGTATTTGAGCAAATTGTGGAATATAAATACAACTATTTTTAAGTAATTTTTTTCTCTAATGTGTTATTTTATTTGTTCTGAAACTAATCTGATTAAAACATATATTATTTTTTTCTCTGTATGTAATTAAAGCACTTATAAAGAAATATGAATTATTAGACCAGGTTGTAAAGATGTCTTAACCTCTTGGACAATAATCTTTGGACCACTATTTTACTGGCCTTCAAAAGAACAAAGTTCACTTCAACTAAAATGTTTCTTCCTGTAATATAGTTTGGTTTAATTTAAAGGGTGAATTTCCATTATTTTTTGGCATGTCCTTAAAGAAGGGATTTGAAGTCAACTATATGCTACCAAGAACTTCAGGATCTGAATTTCCAGGCCATCTTAAAGCCTGCTATGGCTACTATTACAGTTTACGTAATGTTAGCATTCAGTTTGGTTTCTAAGATGATAAGTGTGGTTAATTCTTTATAAAGTCCTCTGGCTATGGTTTTTGTTATTTTAAGAGTTTAGGACATCAGAACACTGACTGAATCATATACATCATTATTACCCAGTGCAATCAACATGTCAAGAGCAGATACAAACTCCTTCAGTTTAAGAACAGGAGAGTATAATGACTTAGATCTGTTCATGAGATTTATAATAATCCTATAAACTCTTTAAAATTGTTGTCACAGATCATCTGTTGGTGGCATTTATATAAAATCTGGATTTGGGAAGGTGTATTTAGCTTTACCTTAGCAAATAAATTATTATTTTGGAAATGTATATATTTTCACACATATAGTACTCTTCTCCATATCCCTGACACTCATGAAGAGTAAGATGAGGCATATTTGTAGATGACATATTCTAGATAGCTTTTCCAGATAAGTTTTTTTAAAAGCAGTCTTAGAAAGGAATTCATTAACTAAATGGGCCTAAAGGTTCTTTTTCTTTGATGAGAGCTAGGTCCTTCCTCAAAAAGTTTTTTTATGGTCCATTAAGTTAAGTGTAGAATATCCTTATTGCTCTTGCTGCTAAGCAAGACATCAGCCATATGATGCGGAGTTACGCAGTGCCTTCATATCTAAAACTTTTATACTATACTACACTTTTTAAAGCTTTTATTTTGAGGAAGGGAAAAGAGCATGTCTGAATATGGAATCTAAGTTGTACATATTTCCTGTCATTCTAAAAGAGTTAATTTGTGAAGCAAAATTTTGCTAAATGTTAAACTCTGAAATTTAATATACCAGATTATTAAAATACTGTCCACTAACTAGTTCATAGACTTTAAAAATAAAATTCCTCCTCCTGTCAAAACTAAAGAAAAAACTAATTTTTTGTCTAATTGCAATTAAAAGAAAATGTTAAAGTATTAAAAATAAAAGTAGTATTTTCCAACAAAAAGCTCAGTGATTAATATAACAGGGACAAGATACGTGCTTGTTAGAATTAAAGCAGCTATAAGCTAAATCATCAATAAAGCATTTCGCTGCTGAGGTTTTTTGTTTTTAAAAAAAAATATTTTTTATTGATTTTTAGAGAGAGGAAGGGAGAGGGAGAGAGAGAAACCTAGACTGGCTACCTCCTGCACGCACCCTACCAGGGATTGAGTCTACAACCTGAACATGTGCGCTTACCAGGAACCAAACCCTCAACCTTGGTCGGTGCATGGGAAGATGCCCAACCAACTGAGCCACACCGGCCAGAGCACACTGCTGAGTTTTTATTCTGATAAATTATAATATTGGTTTGTATTGACAACTAAGGGTTAGGTTTTTACTGTAAATGGACAGCCAATTATCACAGAAGTTTGAGACTTTAAAACTGTTACCTCATTAAAAATTATTATGGTTCTGCAGGGTAATTTAAGTATTAAAATAGATTTAGAATTCAAACATTAGGAACAAGAAACTAGTGTTTTTTTTTTTTCGCATTTAGCCTCATTTACAGACACTCTGAATTATGGTCAGAAGGTTTAGAACTGTTTTTCCCCCTTTTTGATCGTAGTAAATAGCTGTGTTCTGAGAAGATAAATATAAACAAATGACTTATGCCACAGAAGAGATTGAAGAGGAGGTCGGAGGGAATGAGGATATCATATCTGAGCTGAGAAAACACGCAGGAAGTCGAAGAAGCATGCATGCATTGGTTCATTTATGACCTTATGTAACCTTAGGCTTCCATGTGGTTTCTAACTTTACCAAGAAGTCTATGGCAGCAGTTTTCAAAACTTTTCTATAATCCATGGTAAAAACAATTTTTTTAAAATACATAAGTATGTATTTATATTAACAGTTTTCATGAAAATGCCCCCTTATAGTGCACCTTACTATGTGCAGTATATTCTGAAATCATTGATTTCATTTTTTAAGTGCTGGTTCTGACTCACTGAATTGACTTTTATGACTCTATTGGGTTGTGATACACAGTTTGAAGAAAGGCTAATCTGGCTGTTTTGGTAGATGTAAATAGCAATAACTTTTCTATATATATATTTCTAAAATAATTTCTGTTCCCTCTCCCTGTCTTTTTTTCTCATATTTGGATTATGATCTTGGTATTTAAAAAAGGAGAAAGTGCTAATATAGTGAATCAGTAGTCATTCACTTTAAAATTTCCAAATATTCTGAAATTACCAGTAGCTCACAAGATAGCTTACACTCATTTCTTGGCCCTCCATACAATCAACTTAGGAAAAATTCCACTTCATTACTTGAGGGACACCTATATTGTTTCTTGATTTTATACAGAACTCGAGAACATTGGGACATAAGAATTTAAAACTGCTCATAAAGTGTTCTTTATATTCTTGCCTACTTCCCTTCCAGTATCCTGAAGCTTGTCCACCCCTCTCAAGTCACAAATCCTCTCTTGTCAGTTCTTAATGTACTGATCAGTTATAGTTCAAAACCTGAGAGCTCCTTAGAATGGAGCTCTCATTTTGTAAGGCCATTAATGGAACATTTGCTGCTTTGTAAGTTTAAAATACAAGCTTCTCCTAAGAAATCTGAGTATAGGGCATGGATGGTAGGCTCCCCTGACAAGTAGTAAATAACATTTATAAAATGTGTGAAATCAGCCTATTATAGAAGAACAGGAGAAATATTTCCCCAATCAAAATAGTGTAAAAATACAAAATGGCATCAAAACATGTTTTTTAAAATAAGTTTTTCCTAAAGTCACTTTGTAATCTAATCTTGACGTCTATCTGCAAAGGCTTTTAAATGTACTTGTTGAAGAATCATTACAATGTGTGAATAAAGCTCCACATTGCAATGATGAAAATACGCTTTCCATACTCAAACATTTTCTACCTAAGAATTTTCCATAGGAGCTACTGCTGCCGTGAGATCTATGAGCATGAAAATGCTTTAAGCGCAATGTCATCTATCTACTTTACATAAAGAGATTTTTCCCCCCCTCCTACTTAATTTATTTCAATGTTCTGTTTGCTGGGGCTACAAAAAATGCCAGGTAATACATATTTTTTCCTGCGTACGTATGTATGAAGGTCATCACTTGACAATGAGAAAGATGAATCATTCAAAACTAAGGTGCAAAAAGACATGGAATAAGCTTTTGGAAAATAAGTGATGGAGCTTTTAAAATATCTTCTTAAGAGCTACAAAAGAAATGCTACATATTTCCTTCCATTTTCGGCAGTAACTCTCAGAAATTAGCTTGAAATTTATCCTATTGTAGGTTCTTTTTCCTAAGGAAAAAACTGTTGTGTTAGTTTCTATAGTGACATTAAATGAAATTGTCATGTTAAATACCTGCACTAGTAGATCCAATTCCTGTGGTGAGCACAGATCTCGGTGTAATCTTTGCTGCATATTTGAGGAATTGAGATTTCCCTGTGCCAGGATCCCCAACCAATAAAAGATGAGATTCACCTAGAAAAAAGTAAATAATGTAAAGTTTTAAATTTCTATGAAAAGATCCATGAACAAGTGTGATTAATCAAAAAGAAAATGGTCCACTTGGACTGTCAACACTATTTATAGTTTATATAATGCTTTTGCTGTATACTTAAAGTCATTTAAGGAAAGATTAACTAGAATATCTTAGGGAAGTTAACTGTCATAAATAATCTTTAAATGACTTCTGAATGTGACATTTAAAATCTAAACTCTTAATAAATTTTGTGCTATTTCTAGATGTTCAGGCCTATGTTTAACATTTTTTAAAAATTTGGCTTATAATTTGGTTTATAAAGTTTCTGATTTTATATTTTTATTTAAGCACTTTTTAAAAAGTGGAACTTTATAAGTGCTTTATAAGTATCACATCATTTATTATTTCATCTCATGAAAATTTTAGTTTAATTAAAGAAATATCTTAAAATACTCTTATTTTTCAAATATAATACAAATGAACATGAAAATCTTGTGGTGTGTATTATCTCACTGATCAAATTTCTTCAATAATATTTGAGTATTTTCTAAGTGTACTAATAGGAAACTCCTGTTTAGGCACATTTAGCATAGTACCTTGCATAACAGTAGGTGATCAAAACATAGCATACACGTAAAGCTTATGGCACTATTCCATACTGCACTACATGGTTTTAGAGTACCTACTAACTGCCTGATTGACTAATGTACTCATAGTCTTTGGTTTAGTCTTTGGTTATTATGGCTCTCATGTGGCCTATAGGAGGACCATAATAAACCCACTCTATGCCAGAGTCAGGTCAGTTAAGTGTGTTAGCTGCAAAAGAGCTTTCCGCCATTTGGACATAATTACATAGAGTAACCTTTGCTTGAATGCGTGACCTACAGCAACACCGAACGGCAGATGGCACATTTGCAACCCACCAGCAGAAGGGGAATCAGCAGGCAGATGACTGGGATTAGCAGTCTGAGAGAAACACTGACAGTAAGAGATGGAAATACACTGACTTGGTGACATTAAAAAGTACTACTACTAATCTTTTCTTCTTGAAGAGAGAGTGCGGATCCAATGAAAAACACAGTAATATATATGTAAAGATTTTATTTTGTGGCACCCTGAGAGGTTGGAGCAAAACTCTATACTCACTGAGAAACTTAGTATTTCTTTTAGTCTTTGGAATTCTAGAAAGTAGCTCCTGATATATAGATGCTGGGCTAAGTATCAGATAGCCAGACAACTATTAGCTTTAAAAGACTACATTTGAAAAATACTGTCAGCTTTAAAAGGCTACATTTGGAAAATAAAGCTCAACAAGCAATTTTTATTCAGGAAAGGAAAATTCTAGCTTCTCTCCTTATATGTATTAATATTTCTCAAAAGTTTTAAACAGGTACTAACCTCTGACACGTGTTCCTGTAGCATCAGTCCTTTGAATCCCACCAGCCAGTACCATGGCCACAGCAAGCTTTACTAAATACATCCCAAAAACTTGAGGGCATAAGCTGGCCAATATTTCATTCCTTCCTAGGAAAGGCAGAAAGATCAGAAGTTACCAACAATTTTTAAGAAATCATAACCAAAAATTTCCTTCTACCCTATAATACACTCCACCATCTAAAATGATCAAAGGCCCTGGCCGGATGGCTCAGTTGGTCAGAGAGTCGGTCCAATACGCTAAGGTTGCAGGTTTGATCCTGGTCAGGGCACATACAAGAATCAACCAAGGAATGCATAAATAAAAGTGGAACAACATAAATAGATGTCTCCTCCCTTCCTCTGTCTCTCTAAAATCAATCAATACATAAGGAGTAATAAAGTAAAATGGTCAAGAGAACCATTTCCAAATGACTAAAAAGGGGTAACTCAGTTCTCTTATTAATGCCACGAGATGAAAAGTCTGCTTTATTCTTGGGTGCTACCTGCTTAAGTTTCTATAAATTTAACATACTTTAGAGGGCACAGAAAAGAATACTCTTCTCCATCAGGCTAACAGTATCCCTTAAGAATAATACTGGCTGCATTTTCTCGGCAGTAATTTCAGTAAAATTACTACATTGTGTAAATAAAAGGAAAGTGCTTGATCTCAGGACAATGAGTTAGAGCCAGTAACTTTTAAATACAGATACTTGGAGCTTCTCCAGAGGTGTCAGAGAAGTAAAATCAATCTATCCTCTGAGACAGTTCAGCATTTTCTCTGAGCAGTTTGGTAAATTGTTTTATTTAGAATAAGTTACTAGGGTATCGGGATATTAAGATTATTATAAACTTCAACTCTGCAATCCAAGCTGGAGGTCTTGGATTCTTCTGATCATGTGCTTTAAATAAGAGTATCAGTTTTAGGTTCTGTTTTCAGAACTGTGAAAACACCAAATCTGAGAATCTGCCTATCCCATCCATGAATAAAGTAGGTATTTCATTCGGTTACTGGCCTAATCTGGTAACTAATTTGCATGTTTCAGGACTTTTATACTCATCTGAGTTTTTACTCATGTTTCAATGATAGCTGTTTTGAGGTGGAAAATAATCATACAAGTACTTCCCTAGCTAACTATTCCAGTTCCAGAAGCTTTCCTGCCAAACCATCAAGGGAAGGGAAAGGACCTTCCTCCACAATTTAGGGCCTGATACACAAAGGCTGCTTTAGTAAGGAATCGAAATTGACTCAGTGGCATAAGCTACAGTGATATGACCTAGGACGGCAGAAATGGTGAAGAAAGAAAATATTTTAGTCCTGGAAGGATGTTAATTAACCGCTAGAGGAAATCCATCCCTTTCCTGTGGTAGAAAAGCCCAGAGAAGAAAAGATGAAGCCTGGGGTCTAAGCAGATGAGAAGACCTGGCAGCAGGTAGGTAAATTCTGACCAGAATCTAGAGATTATATGTAGAAAGAAAGAAGCAATAACCCCAAAAGTAAGGGCTATTGGGAGACATCCAAGCCAAAACTAAACCAAAGAGCTAGTTTTGTTGAATAAAGGTGGACTCAGTGACTCTCGAGTCAGGTGCCTGGATTCAAATCCCAGTGCTATTACTTACTAGCTGTCTGATCTTGGGCAAGTTTCTTAACCTCTCTGCCTCCATTTCCTTATCTGTAAAATGGAGATAATAATGGTATCACACAGAATTACTGAGGATCAAAGGAGTTAATAAGTGTACAGCACAAAGAACAAACAATACCTAGCACATATAGGAGCTACTTAACTGTTAACTCTTACATTGCCCATATTACTTGTGATTATTTCTGAACTTAAGATTTCCTGACCCTGTAGTCCACACAAAAGATATAATATGAAGGCAGGTCTGAGGAACCAGAGAAATGCAAAGGTATAGGGCGACTCCCCTAATTTGCCGTCTGAATTTGAAAAACTCGCTTGCTTAGATTGTGGCACTGGAGCTCCCATGGCTGTATCATGGAAGAAAATGTGTTAAGAGTAGATACTATTCCCATCCCTTCCTCCCTTCAAATTTCTGGCTCTAGACCATGTTAATAGTGTGGCTATGGCCTTCAGTGACCCCAATGAAGAGAACTTCTTCAATCTAAGATAACTGAGTCACTCCAGAGTGGGCTGATAGCCCAACGGATCCCAATTCCTATGTTTGGGTTTCTATCCAGCACCTAAGCACCAGGTCATGGGATCCCTGAGGTCACTGTAGATCAGAATCAAGTCTTTGGCTCCTCCTAGTCAATACCCACAGTATCAGGTCTTAATGAAGCGGGTCAACCTCCAAGAGCTGAGCGTTGAAGTAATCTCTGGCTTTCGACTAGCAAAATGAAGATCCCGTCAGATACAGCCCCTCACCTTCAGCCACCCCACCCACAACACACACGCATATACTTTACTCCTTTCCATTGAGGCATTTTATTTGTGCATATGTATTACATCCCTATAAAAGAATCCCACGGTCTTCCCTCCTATGTGTTTTTGTCTTGCTTCTTCATGATCCATGCATGATCCCCAGTGAGGTTTCCAGTTCAATGAAACCAAACTGATGGCTCGGGAGCACGTTGTTCTGCTATTTTTCTAGATCTCTGAGTTGTAAATCAAATCTGGGACTGATTACTCTGCACTGTTTAACCTCCCAGGAGGTTCACAACACCTTTCCCAGCTCTGGGATCATCAATAATTTCAAATCTGCCACTGTAACCATGCTTCATCATCACAATTAGACACCAGACAATGCCGGAGCATGGCCTAGTAAGAACGTGGTTTGCCTTGCTTTTCTGCACCATTAATACTCTTGAGAGCATCAGTCAGAACATTTATACACACTGTTATGGGTGCATGGGAAGATGGTGGAAAAAGCCCTACTTACATTTTTCATAAGGTTATTATATTTCTTTCTTTTATTCAGTAAATGAGTCATACATCTATAATTTTATAAGTAAAACAAGATAGACTCTTTTTAATAGCTAGCACACAGCACCGGATGGTTTGGTCAGAGCACTGTATGGTGCTTTTCCTTCCCTGTCACTAGGCAGAGTTGAGCTGAGGCACTGCAACTGATAAGGAATGACCGTGGGCCAAGGAAGAGTTACAGATTTCTGTAAGGACTTGATCCTAAGAAACAATTTCAAATAAAAAAAATCGTTTAAAAAAATATATGATTCATAGGCGATTTACTTCATAAAGCCACAATACAGACTTTTTTCCCCCAGTATGGATTAGGTAAAAGAATGATACGTGCTACACACATAAGAAAAAAAAAATCACCCCACAAAATAAAAGCAAAATGCCTATATTTAGGCAAATAAGGGCCTTTTTTGTATGTGTGTGTGAAATGATAGCTGTCCAGTTCAGCATGTGATTTAAGAATAAAGTAATCACTATATATTAGATTGGAGGTGAAGTTTATTAGAAATAGCCTATTACTACCTTTGGTTTATTTTTCTTAGAAGATACCTCCAAGGAAGAATGAAAACAGACATTTGAAGATATAATTGTTGTTTTATACACTTGGAATTTTTATAAAAAACACTCTACAAACCCAAAGGCTGTAATGTTTTAATCTATGTAATTATAGTTAGTGTCATAATCAAAATTTTTGCTGTGATGACAAAGATTATTTTTGCATCTTTCCATCTCTCATCATCTCTTTTCTATTATCTCCTATTTTTAAATCTTCAGCTAAAATACTGTGAAGATCACATATAATTTAAAGGACATCAGAAAAGAAATAATGGCTTTAACAGGATGAGGTGTCATAATAGGATGAGTTTTGCCTATTTAAGGAGGAACTGTAATATTTAATTGGTAAAGAAGGTAGAAGATTCCAAAATGATTTTGGCAGTATAAGATGTTAAAATAGTTAGAAACGAAAAATCTCTTGGAATTCAGCCTTATTTTTCCAGATTTCTAAATAGAAAAGGCTGTGCCAGAAAAGGGCTTCAGGACAGACCGTGGCTGGAGACACTGGCTGATGCTGCTACCCTGTGAACTCAGTCATTGCGTTATGGAGCGTATAAGGCTGCCCCCAATCACAGACAGCATGTTCAACTGCTGAATGAAATGCCACTAATAAGTGTCCACTTTCTACCCTCAACCACAAACCTGCAAAGGGGTCGCTCTCATAGCGTTCCCAAAAGCCTTGAAATTCCTTCCGGACCTCTTCATCCATGACCACCCCTGCAGGCTGCTCGTTATTCACTTGCACATAATTGGCCTTCAGGACTATCTCGACTTCACAGCGCACATCCTTCTGAAAGGGCTTCCACCGTTGCATCACAACCCCATAAATAGTGAGGTCATCGCCTAGGAAAAAGCACCAAGTTAGTCCAGCAGCAGCACCCTACGTGCTGGGCACAGACTCGCATGACAAAGGACCTGAACTAAGACATACACCATTTCCCGACCGGGGTTTAGAGTGCTGTACACTCATCCAACACTCATTCAGAAAACAATCTGGGTGCAAAACATCACCACAGATTCCTGATTTTTTAAAAACAGAGACTTCTATCTGCATAACTAAAAGCTAAAATCAGCATTTTTATTTTTTCTTAATCTGCCACATTACAATCACACCAAGTTATTACCCTTCACTGGGAAATAGTTTACTGGATGATTTACTCATTGTTATTATACTGGGTGAAAGGCTCATCCTCTCAGAATCTCTAGCCATAGAATTTTCATTTAAAGAGGTGAGAATTGCAGCCAGAAGGTTAAACTATAATCAGTTTGTTGTCAGGAAAGGAAACAACCTTGTGATGACTGATACTAGTTTTAGTTTTTTATTTATTATTTTTTACTTAATACATTTGTTAACATTTTTTCACTGCCTTTTTTTTAATGAACAAAAGAATCAATGATCAAAGTAATGAAGGAATGAATAACCATTTCACATCAAAGTAACTTTGAATAGACTATGAAAGCCTGGGACACAAACCTGCTCATTCCTTCCTGGTTAGTTCCTTCTCACCTGAGGAAACTCTCCCATTCCTGGTGGGCAGAAGAGTCAACTTTTATAGATTTTTCTAAGAGGCCTTGGGTAGTTTATAGGCACCTTGTCCAAACTAACATTTGTGATAATTGCATACAATTCAATGCCTCAGTAACAAGTCTTTATGAATGCTTGGCATTCAATGTTTTGGCACTGGAGAAAAGGGGGCCCAAAAAAGAAGACATAATCCTAGTCCCCAAAGATTTCAATCTTATCGAACATAGGATGTTGGACATACCCCAAACCCTATCCTGGTGTTTATATTTTGCACAAAAATATTGTCTCTGAACTAACAAGTGTTGTCTTTATTTCCAAGGCTGTGTCAGATACATATGTGCTGATGCAAAATGCCTTACACTTTCTAAGTTTCAATGTGCAATGTGTAATCCAAAGAGCTTTTGATTTTCTGAAGTTTTCTGTAAAGGCTAAGTGCATGGAACCGACGGTAGCAATTCATAGAATAGAAAGCATACTTCTAGCCGAAGGCAACTTCATAATAACAACAAATAGATGCTTTACACTTGTTTTTAATGTCCTTCCCAAGCTACTGCCTGGATGGTTTTCAAACTCAATCAAAAATAATGATCATTTACTATACTGTCTGCCCCCAATTTTTTAGATGAAAATGACTGGGGCAACATTATATGAGCACATGGAACAGTTCTCTACTATGGGCATTTTAATGGGTTATATTTAGGTTGTTTCTAAATTAGTCAAATGAGGAACTTAACTTTTAGATATAGCACATACTAGTAAAAATCTGACTTCAACAAGCAATGATAATGTGGAAAACGTAGAGTACTGAAGAATAGCCAAGAGCACTGACTCATTACATTTGGATTCAAATCCCAGCTCCACCACCCACTGACTCCGTGACCTTGGGCAAGTTACCTAACTTTGCTGAGCTTATGTCTTGACCTACAAAATGGGAATAATTATATTTATATCACAGCACTATAGTGGAAATTAAGCCAAATAATGTTTGTAAATTACTTAATACAATATCTAGAAATATAAATGCTCAATAAATATTAGCTATTATTATACTAAGCCTACCTTACATTTGTAGAGCAACTAGTACCTTTAAAAAGCCCTTAATATATACATGTTTTGAATTGCAGATTCATATGATCATCAGAACAATTATGAGGTACATATGATAGTCCAAGTTAACAAATAATCATTTTAGTTTTCTATAGTAAAAATTATAAACGATGTTATTTTCAGAAAGCTAAATTTCTTACTTCCATACAGCCGGGTCTCGGTGCCATTCTGCCTTCTGTAGTGTTTACCACTGCAGCCACCCTGTCAGGCCCGCCTCTGATCTGCTGCCCTCACGTGTTCAGCACACAACCGCCGACTTTATGGCTTTGCAGTGTCAGTTTGGGGTTCCTAACTAGACTGTAAATTCCTGAAGGGCAAGGATGATGCCATTTATGCCTTCTGATTTTCACAGAAATTTGTAGCTCTGAATAAGTGGAAAATAGCTGTTGACAGACTGCTTCCATATATTCTTTTTTATTAGTGACATGTGAAAGAAAAATACCTTAAGGTTTTTTTTCAGTGCAGAAAGAATTCCATTTAGATGAACTGTATGAAAACAACTTATTCTCTATCAAAGGATATTTTCACGTTCAGGCTAAGTTCATACAAGCACTGCTTTGCTGATCTAGATATTACAGATTTGGGTTAAAATCTAGAGCCCTGTATGAACAAGGTACTGTGACACAGACTTGCCCATTTAGCAGGAAATCCATGATCAAAGCTGTTATTTCCTTAGTATACTGTTTAGATAACTATAAACTGTTCATGTATTTGACATACATTTCAAACTATGAGTTGGTGATTTTTAGATGAATGGGGGAGTCTCTTGATAGAGAATTATTATTGACTCTAGATACCGACCTCTTTTATTTCCATACAGTGTTTAGCCTATCATTTTAATGTCAGTTCAGGAAATATTTTATAAATGAGGCATCTGGAGAAGTCTAAGGTTAAAAAAATGATAGAATTTGGCAAAATGAAGCATTTTCGATCTGTCTTGCAGAGGAGAACTGGGATATGGAATAAGAGATCAGGAATACCTGTTACAGCCCAGCATACACACCTGTGCTATCTGTTTTTTATAGAGATAAAGGGTGTTTTGGAAAAAATGGGAAATATTCAAAGCAGCGAATGTTGAGGTGAACTGAAAGGCAACTGCTGATATTCAGCTAACGTTTTTTTCTGACCCACCTTCAATTTAACTTAAATGCTAAAAAGGAAGTGGAAATTGTTAGGCAGTTTTTAAGTTATTTGGAATAAGAGTAAGAAAGACAAAGGATACGCTCTCATATCCTCCTCGCAGAAAAGGTCTGGAAGGCCTGGCAATGCATGTGGGGGACAGAAGACACTGGCTTTAAGGGAACAGGTTTCCATTCTCCTTTTCTTGGGATGGAAATAGCAGCCTTAGAGAAGCTGATGAAAGATTTGTAGTTCTGAGGAAACTTTGTTTGGGATTGAAAGTCTATAAATCCAAGACTTTTGAGCTCTATAGCAGAGTCTCCTGTCAGTATGAAAAGATGACAATAAGGGAGAAGATGGACAAGGACACCTGTGTTGACATACGGAAAACATCAAGGACTCTGGTTAGACAAAGTTTCTGATTAAAACTTTAAGATGATCACTTCGAAGGCAGTCTGCTTCTGCGATCTTCACCCTTTGCTGCCCAGTGCCATGTAAATTTTACAGCCCTACACTCTACCAACAGCTAAAGAATGCACAGTTTATTCTCCGATTCTTTTTGCATTATAAATACTAGCTATCACCAACATATCCATTTAAAAAACATACCATATTTTATTGAGAATATCTCTTATGATATTTAAATGCAGTTACTGCAGAAGAGAATAGTATTTACCCATTTGGGTGACACTGCTGATTTATGAAATCTAATATCTTGATTTTTCAAATGAAACCTTTCCCTACCATTTTCTTTATGAAAACAGTAATTTAAAATTCAGTGTAGAACACTTCCATTCTACAGCGGTGGGCTGAGATTAATCCTCGCCCTTCCACAAATGCTTTTTAAGTTTGCTTCTTCCTAGGCTCCCCAATGAAGAGTAAGAGGAGACAAGGTGAGTTGAGAGGGGCAAAGGAGAGCTTAGGAATTGTCTGTTTGACCTAAAGATCAAAGCATAACTAAGGATGACATCACTACAACCAGGTTTCTGGAGCCTTGGATTTACAGAACAGTTCCAAGGCTCAGACTCTTTAATTTGCAGGGAACACTGTAGATCTCCAGATCATGAGGCCTAAATAGCTAACTAGATGCTGTACATCCTCTGCTTAAACTCAGCATTATCCAAGGCCCATGTTGGAGACCTCTGATTAATAGATACTGAGTCGGTCTACCTTCCTGTACCTCCAGCCCATGAGACCCAATAGCATCTTCTGTAATTCCAATTCCATTTCTATATGACAGTCTTCCAACAAATGAAAGTTGGTTGTCATCTCCTTCCTGAGACTTATCCAAGCTAACCACTCACAGTTCTTTCAGTATGATTCAAGTTCCCTCCCAATTCAGGCAACTGGCCAGTGGAAACACTGAGGACCCTCAAAGGACAGAAGACCAACACAGAGCAGGGAAACACAGTCACCTCCTTTTTTCTAGACATCATTAGGCTGCAGTAGCATTTGACAGTCACAGCCTCTGATGCATCTTATATAATTGCCGCTAAAACCAACACTTATAAAGTTGCTCCTGTTACATTATGGTGCACTGAAGAGAGTGCTGGACTAGAAGTAAGTAGATCTGAGTTCACGTTCCAGTCTGTCACTTAACTTTCCAAGTGATCTTAGGCAAGTCAGGTTCTTTAGCTATAAAACAGGCAGCTAGACTAGATCGCTAAGCTCCAGCCAGCTTCTTTCCTGCTATCACATCCCACCTCCACGCCAGTCTCTGTCTCAAGGTAAGCAATTAAGTCTCCACACTCACTCTTGGGAAAATAAAAAGTGGCTTTATCAATATGTTAGGACCACCTATGTAAGCTAACAAAAGTTTAATTCTTACCAGATTTGCAGGTGTCTACTAAGTCATCTTCTAAGATAACTTTCATAGATCGTGGAATACTTCCAATAGCTAGCCTTTGAACCTAGCAAAGAAAAGAAAACAGATGCTGAATATGCTTAAATACATGCTAAGTAATCTGAAGCCTAGTAATTTTTGAAATTACCATTTCTATTTCTCTGGTATTGTAATACAATTTAATTATGATGGGAATTTACAGACTTTTCTTACAAATTTTCCATACTATCAGTTTAAGAATTCACTGTACATAGAGTAAAATAAAAACACCAATATTTGGAAAACATCTGCAAATATAATCTACACCTTGAGGATTGTCAAAATAAACGCATGCTCCAACTACTAAACATAATAAACTTACCTAAAATAAAGAGGCAGTTCTCCCTTGATTTCTAGTCATAAGACCTGGGACTAATCACTCAGTTATTTTGATTATTCCTTAGAAACAGAACTCTGGGTTTATTCTATATTAACAAGTGCCTAGTAAAAAGACTATATCTCCCAGGCTCCTTGCAGCTAGGTGTGGTCATATGACTAAGTTCTGGTCAATGAGATGTAAGTAGATACGTTATAGGAGATTTTGAAGGAAACTACTTAAATGGAAACTTGGGTTACATGGCAGGTGCTTTTGGCTATCCCTCCTTATTTCTGTTCTCTGACTAGGATACAGATGTGATAGAGTTGTAGCTGACATTCTGAAATATAGATAACCATAAAAATAGAAGCTATGAGTGAAGAATGGTGTAGAAAGACAGAAGGAATCTGGGTCCCTGACACTGAATAAGCCTTTGTGTTTGAGTGGCAAGTAAAATAAGAATCAGGTTTACTCTCATATACTAAAGAGTGGTTATGTATACCTTACTTGGCACAGAAAATAAAAATTAGGCCTAAACCCCAAAACCTGCCCACTCCAATGTTTAACAACCAATTAAACCCACTTAATTTTCTCCTATCCCTTAGGTAAGTACAGCTAGTTTAAACTTCTTAAATATTCATTAAATTTAACAAAATTATTAAGTCATTCCACAACCCTCTTGCCAATCCTCTACATAAAAAGATGTTTATATCATGGCCTCTAAAGACTATGTTCTGATATATGTGCAACAGTTTCACACTTGATCTTCCACAAAGTGATGACACAAGTTTCACTTGTAATCTGTTGTGTTCCCTAGTCCTGGCACTTCACCCACTTTTTAAAACAAAATATGTTTTTATTGATTTTAGAGAAAGAGGAAGAGAGAGGGAGAGAGAGACAGAGAAAGATCAATGTGAGAGAGAAACACTGACTGGCTGCCTCCTGCATGCCCCCTACTGAGCATCAGGACCACAACCTGGACATATGCCCTGTCTGGGAATCAAATCTGCAACCTCTTCGTGCATGAGACAACACTCAACCAACTGAGCCGCACCAGCCAGGGCTGAATAACACTTCTTAAAATTTGTCATTTTTCTCATTTATTTCATCATTTACCTGTTCCTGAATTTTGATTTCCTGATAATCTCTACACTTGGTTGGAGATGAAGACAAGTCTGAGAGGCAGGTGAATTTTGAAGAATCACAGCTCTCTAAGCTGGGACATGAGGAGGGGCGGCAGAAGGTATAATACTGCTCAAAGTCAGCCTTGACCACAAATACATGTTTGCATTTGTTACACATGTAATCCCGTTCAAACTCCAGGATCTTCACCAGACTTGTTCGAATCACTGTCCCAGTGACAGATAAAAAGTGTCCTACATCCTTGGTTTTAGGGATGTGCTCCCTTACCAGCTCAGGACAAACAGGCAAACCTGATGAAGAAAAAAAAAACTACATCAACCTTGGCATTTGACTCCATGGAATATACTTTTCTCATATTTCCTGAGGAAAAAAGTATAATTTCAGGGGTGAAAATCTTTGTGTTTTACTCAAGAAAAAAAGCATATGAAATCAAGAAAATAGAAAAGAATTATTTCAAATAACAATTAACAGTGGACTCGCTTTAAAAGTATACATCTAGATGATATAATAACCAGGATTTAAAAAAGGATTCATTCTCGTACGAGGGCTATCTCAGTAGGATCTAAATATAGTATATAATTATAACCATATTCAACAAAGAGTATATAGTGCTCTCAGCCATACATAAAATCAACTATGACTCTCTGAGTAAACCACAAAACTGAGTGGTAAAGAGATGGTAGAATAATGACCAAAGTGCACAGTGCTAGAAGGCTATTTAGTGCTTTTTCAGTTAGATTCAGGATTCATTAACCTGTAAGTCTGACAGTGTAGCCAACCCTTGACTTACCTAGAGGTTTACCCACAGCATCACTTTATCTTTTAAAAACCTTGTTGTTTTCACCATGTATAAAGAGGCAATTTAATAGGCGCAAAATGCCAAAGAAAATTTTTATGTGGAAATGCCCTCTTTCTCATGTTTGGCTATAATGCATCTCTGGAGTAGAGCAATGCTGGCTGTGACGGTCAAAGGCTGCCTCCTAACATGTTTATTAAGGCAGTTCTGGTTGATGTCCTACGGTCTAGTGTCTGGGCCTCAGATTTTAGTAGCTCTGAAACCTGGTAAGTGTGCATACAGAAGACGGATCTGTCAGAATTGCCAAGCTCATGAGAAATAACCATAATAGGTATGATTATACTTTAAGTTTCTATGGCCAGCACATTTTCTCCCTATTGATATATCTACTCTGAAAGCCAAATAATAATAATAATCAGAAGATAGTTTGAGAAGCATGGAATTTTTTTTTTAAAGAAAGCAAATTCGTTAGATGAACTGAATGCTTAAGGCACCAGGCTACATTAACCTGGTGTTACAGGTTACAAGTCCACAGATAGACTTGAATTTTCTGTTGCTTGCTGAAACTCTCTCTCCATATACTACATACTATACAAACAAGGGAGGCACTGCCAACATTTGCCACTATGACTTCTTTTTTTATGCTTCCAAGGCTGACTTGCCCGCTTTCTAGTGAAAATATTCTATATTTATATTAACTTAGATTGCATTACATTTCGTCAGTAAAGGAGTCAGACTTCTGCTTAGGATAATTTTTGTATATCTCTGCTCTATTCTGTGTTGACTTTACAATTTAACTCTCAGAAAACAAACTTATTTCCAAATTCCTGTGGAATGCTTCATGAAAACTCCTGGGGCTGACAAGTGCCATATCAACCACATGATGAAAATATTTATAAGTACAAATAGCAATTATTTCTTAGAGTTCGATATGCAATATGTGTTAGGGATTCTCAAAAACCTTCCTAGAGAAAAACATGACAATAAAATCCTTAAATGATTCACCTGATATCCTAGCATGAAGATTCTGCTTCATGGAGACACCCTCAGGCTGAGAAAGGGACTCGAGAATTGCCAAGGCTGATCTTCGCAGTGAACTATCAAAAATAGTTAGTACTTCATTGGGGAATGCATTGAAATATTCCCCAATTTCCATGTTGGTCTCAAAAAGGGTCATGGCATTAATCACAACTGGGTAATGAGCATCTTCATCTCTTTCCTTCAGGATTATAAGAATATCGCTCTTATGGTGTTCCGAAACATAGGACTCAAACACTTGGCCAACCAGTGCAACATGATCACTATTCATCCTGAATCTAGGTAGCTAAAGAAAAAAGAAAGAACTGTATTACACCTTTGCTACTAGACTTACACAAAATTACCAAACAATTGTGTGGTTGTACATCATCCTGGCTTTAGGTCATGCTATAATCTCAAAATACTAACTGAATTTATACTTCAATTAGATCTGAATTATCTGTTACTTAGTAAATGTATTATTTTTTAAGTGGGAAAAGAATTATGTTGGTACTGATTATCAAATCAATTATGTTGGTACTGATTATCAAATTCCAAAATGGCCCAAAGTCTTCCCCATTTCCTTTCCAGGAAACTTCCTCCTCATTAGCCCTGTATTATGTAAAAGGTCCTTGCCTTTTCTTTAACCAGTTTCCACACACACATTTGTTCTCAAGTATAAAATCTTAAATGCTAGTCCTTTGACAAAAGTTACTCATGGTAGAGTTCTCTGCAAGTGTCCCGTTTCTGGGTTTTATTCATATAAAAAACATCTCTTTCTGTCTCTCTAGTTACACACACACGTATTCTGCTACATAAACGCAACATACACTACTATTCAGATTGATAGCCAGTTATGACTTGAATAGTTATCAGATTGGCTTTAGAAATTTCAATTTGGAGGTGAATTTATTTCCTGTTTTCTCTTCCTGGCCCAGGAAAACTATTGGCTTCAGCAAAAACAACTGTCAAGAGTGTAAAAAAAACCCACTAAATAATTAAACTGAAGAAAGGAAAATTGGTCTTTAAATAACTACAGATTGAGAATAAGTACAGTATTTTATTACTTCACCTATCCTATTCCCCTGGCAATATTTTTTTAAATCTGTATCTACAGATTAAAAGGGCCTACCCCATTCTGTTTTCATGTGTACATGCAGATATGTACCAAGTTCAAGGAGCTATGCTTTGAAATGAAAGCACAACGAAAGGTTCTCTATCCCCTCAGAGAACTAAAGGACAGATGAATATAACAGCACTCTAACAGTGGTAAAATGCAGCATAAATAGGAGCACAAAGGAGAGAAAGATTAAACTTAAATGGGGTGACAATCCCAAATAAACTGTCCGAACTGGATCATTTAAGAAACTGTTACTTGGTTTGGAAACAGAGAGAGCACTGGAGGACAAGTGTACATTAATTTGACTTATCTCATTCAACTAACATTAACTGCATTAGGCTCTATAAAAAGAAAAATGATTAAAGAATCCTGACAACTACAGGAAGCCAGTATGAGATTAACAGATGAGTCTATGTGTATCTAGGAGAATAAATGAACATAAATTATGGGCACTACATTGACAGTAATTTGTTTTGGTTAGGTAATGTCAACTCAGCCAAGTGTAAAGCAGAGAAAGCACCCAGGAAGGATCCAATCATATAGTCTTTCCATGATGTGGCCTTTGCTTTAACAAACAAAAACAAAACTGTACTTCCAAGAGTGGCTACCAGAGTCTATAAATGCATATTAAATTTGGAGCCACAAGTTTAGCAACTTAAAATACAGCTCCACACCGGGCAGGAAGGGGGCAGCCACAGAATTCATGGTTGAAATTCAGATCAGATTAAATTTCGCCTGTCTTTTTTAACAGAGCATCTTCTTAAAAAACAGCATTCACTTTCAATATCTGCGCAAAACTGATCAACTGTTTCTAAGCAGTTTGCTAACCCCGCCAACGTACTCACCCAGATACAAACTGGAGCCACTTATTCTTCTACAACTTTCTAGTCCCCCTTCCGCTTTCTTATTGAAATATTTGGGGTTAAAATACAATCAAAACCAGTGACTGCGGCCACCGGGTTCCCCGGGAATCACC